TTCATTTAGTAACCGAATTAGAATCAGTCTGTATAACTACACTGTTGTCCATTAAGGTGTGTACTATGTGATCACTGTGATGATAAAGATATTTTAAACTTACTTTTGAGTCTTGGCCTACAAGAAATTCATTTACTTATGGTTTAAACTATTTGACCTGACTGTTGCTCATAAAAGAATTCATCATTTTGTATCCTTAAAGGGTGAGTAATTGACTGAATTTTAATTTTTGGGTGAACTGAACTATCCCTTTAACTAACGATTTTTACGCGTACTTTAAGCACACAAAATTTCTACGAAAACTGCAACGGTTTTGATATGACGTTGCACTCCGCAGTGTCTTTTTTATAAACATGAATTCAATATATGACAAAAAGATATACATTCAAAATGTACAAATATACATTCTTTTAATTTATCCAAGAGGTCCCGCTGTGACGGATCAATCTTCTACTAATCACACGTCTTCATGCTATACAAATTTCGCAGGTCAGAGTTCACCAAACTTTTCGCATAAGAGCTTGCGTTTCCCATCTGATCCATTGGTATTCGTATGAATGGAAGTCATTGGAAGGAATAGTGTGCCCGCCCCTTGACGCAAATTTTGTCAAACAACAACAAAATACTGGAGACTGCAACAACAACAGATGCCCACATTGACAAGCGCTTGTGTGAGGGGGTTATGAGACAGCCGCAACTTTAGTTAAAAACAATACAGACATTTCTTTCTGTCATAACTTCTGTAGAAAAATAGCACAGACACCGGACAAAGATGACATTTTGTAGAGCGCATGTGTCGACCGCCTGTGTTCGCGCACTATTAAATGGAGTATACTTTGAAAGGCTACGCGTTCGGCTGTGTGCATACACTAGCGTACGGGAAATATAAACTTTGGGCTTTAGAGCTTAAATAAAAAGACATGTTTCTTAGCGCATGGGTTGTTCGTTTTTCTCTCAACCTGATAACAATGACACACAAATGTAAGAGTAAACAAAGGGAACCCTTGCAACCAATCAGCCATGTTTGCAGAAGACAATGCCGCCACCACCTTAACAAAACCTACAAGGACTCAAATGACAATATGCAAATCCTTCAGACAATCCAGGCCTATACTCTCAGCTGGGTTTGTCTATTCAAAACCATCAACCTATCAATAACTTTAACCAGCAGACTGCAAAAGGCAGTGTGAGTTTAAGAAGCTTTTCTGGTTAGTTAGCCTAGTTGATGGAAAAAGAACTTGTGAATTCCCAAGAACTTCAGCTATTCCTCCGCACACAGATATATTGCTACTTTACAGGGCACGTTACTGAAAACTGGAGTTTAGCCTAACACCTGGATGCACTTACTTAAGATTTACAACGGCATTCAGCTCCTCACAAAAATACATTTTGTCTTAAGTTATTACCTGATAGAAGATTCTGCTCCAAGCTTGAGTCTATTTTTGTGTGAACGGCAGCAGTGACTGATGTCCACGTTTGTCCATAAAGAAGCCCCTTACTGTTCTTTGCTTCACATACCATGAGAACTGAATTTGGCCAATGGGACTGTTATCAGATACATTCATGTGATTGAATTAGCCTCAGAGAGGAAGAACTAAAATAAAACCTCAAAATTCCAGGCACGACAGTCTGGTTCTCTAATTTCATATGGTTTAACGTGGTGGTATGGCGTGTGCACTGGTGAAGCCATCTGACTTCCCTTTCAGTTATACTGCTACACGTCAGTGCATGACCTGCAGTGGAGTCAATAATATTCATAAAGCACTTCAAGGGATAGTTCAACCAAAAATTTGAATTCTGCCATTATTTTACCCTCAACATATCGAGACAAATTTGTATGACTTAATACTAGGGGTGTAACGGTACACAAAAATCACGGTTCGGTACGTACCTCGGTTTTAAAGTCACGGCTCGGTACGTTTTCGATACAGCAAAAAGAAAGAAATGCCAGAGAAATTTCCTATTTGTTAAAAGAAAAAAGAGTTTTCCTACATCTTGAAACTTTCAGGTTTATAAATGGGGGTCATCTTTGAAGGATGAACAAATAATGTTTTGGTCATCACATTAAAAATAACATTTAAATATATATGTATTTATATATTATTTGAGTTTTGAAGTGCTGGAAAAAGATGTGTGAAGTACTTAAAAGCATTTTACTATTCCAGCCAAACTGGTTACAGTTAGTGTTACTATATTAAATCCATGGTGAATGTTGCTGGTCTGTGGACGTAAAGTATTACTAGTTCATTCACGACACAATGTTTCTCCTGGTGTCCACGTCAGCGCTGTTTGATCTAATAGAGATCTACGGTTAATAACGGAGAAATGTGAATGCTTCTCACTAGATCTCGCAGCGATGTTATTACTTCAGTGGCGAATTCAAATGTTTTCTTCACTGGATCTCTTAGCGCTGTGTTGTAACAGTGTCGCCTGATCGAGATCGGCTCGTGCTGCACAGATGTTGCTGGTCCGAACTGATAAACGATCCGTGAAGCACATAATGAGTAGCGCAGTTTCGTTCCGCTTTCATTACGCTTGCCATTTGATGTTGCGCAACGTTGTGGTGGTCGCGCCAGCGCGGATTTTGTCGGCAGGAAAAATGGTCCAAGGAATCTTTCGGTTTGTATCCGTACCGAACCGGAAGCCTCGAAAAGAAACGGTTCAATACGAATACATGTACCGTTACACCCCTACTTAATACCTAAAGCAGAATGCACGCAGCCAGATCTTGAGACTGACAGCAGAAGGTGTGGACTCCAACACAGCTTTCATTGGCAAAGGAAGGACCAAGCAAGAAGGACTTCAGACCGAAAGCAACCAATCACAGCATCATGTTTAGGGGCGTAAAATGTAAAGACGATGTCACTATAAAAAAGCCAAACGGCGTGCACTTAACTTAAGAACGTTGTACAAGTTTACTTCAGCAATAGTGATGTGAACTTCACATTCTTTTAAGAATCTAGCGTTTAGTTGATCCAGATAAGCGCTCATTGTCACAGGCTTTCTTTTTTCCATAAGGGGGTTTGGCATCATGACGGCTTTGTTTCCAAGTGGACCGCTAAAGAACGTGACAATACGTTTTCTGGAAATCCTGGAGATTTCAACCAATCAGATGACGACTTCGAAACTCCCAAAGTTTTTCCCATTTCGTGTGCCATATGCATCGGACGCTCCGCCAACGGCCTCTGGGCGTGACATCTGAGGAGGAGACTAGAGACTGACTGACTTTTATTGCATACAATTTACCCTATAAAGCAGGGATAGGCAACATCGGTTCTGGAGTGCCGCTGTCCTAAAGAGTTTAGCTGCCTGTAGCCTGTCACCTGCGCCTTAGTAATCCTGAAGACATTGATTAGCTTGTTCAGGTGTGTTTGATTAAGGTTGGAGCAAAACTCTGCAGGACAGCGGCACTCCAGGACCAACTTCGCCCATCCCTGCTATAAAGCCTACTTGTTTCATATTTGAAACATTCATTTCTAAGGTTAATAAATGATCAAAATGATCAAAACTTTGCAGAAAATCCCATTGTACTCAATCTACTACAACCTTTTGCCCTCTTATTGATAGTTCATACTTTTTGCAAGTAAAAGGCCTTTTAGTATAGTTTTAAAAATGTCCACCTTCAGGTCATGGTGCATGTGTCTTTTTGCTGTGAAATCGTTTCTGATTTTTATAAAGCAAACGTAATAATAACTTTTATACTACTTATTTGATACTTTTAACTACATCAAGTTTTTAAAAAATCATCTTAAAAAGTATCAAATATGATACAACAAGCTTTTGAGGAACATTTACTTGTAGATCTCTCAATCATCATTGTATTGCATTCCTTAATATGCCATGCCCTCCACAATGAACACAACAAATAAGCTTTGATCATAAACCTGAACATTTAAAGACATATTGTTTCAGGATATTGAGTGATATTCTTATACAGTTATACAAATCTCATTGGTTTACATTACAAGCTATCAAAATTTCATCTACTTTTTTGCCATATAAATAACAAATGCACACCAAATTGCATATTTTGAATAAAATTGAAGTGTTTTTCCTCAGAGTGTGAGCTCCATATTCTCGATTTATCATACTATATGAACCATAAAAAATATGATACAAAACATAAATCACATGTGCTTTTTTTTGTTAGATTTTGTCAGCAGTTTCCAAAACATATGGTGAAAGTGACTGAAGCTGTGACTATACAACTTTTGTTTTCCACAAAAGTCAGTCAGTCATACAGGCTTGTAACAAGAATGAGTAAGTAAATGATGATAGAAAATCAATTCTAGCTGAACTATTCCTTTATTCCGATAGTGACACATAAACCACCTGTTGTTATTAGGATTATGAAAATACATTTCAAATGGTTTTCTGCCATAACCAAAATACATCTACCCAAATAATACACAAATCTATTACAAATGCTAAATACCAAACTTAAAACTCACACCAAACCGCTTTTTTATTCATTAACAAACTGCAAAGCGACATTTGTACACTGAGATGTAGGCTACTGGCCTGTTCAGTTGGGTTCTTCAAACATGTGCTGAAACTTTACGAGTAAGCAACAATCTGCCCTCACCAACAACCAACATTCATTTTAAGAAGCTTCAAGACACATTAACTTTCTGTAAGAACAAGGGCACCATTGTGTGAAAAGTGTAGTCTCACTATTGTTGAATGGCCTTAGTCCAGGTGAGTGAAAACTACATAGTGCTGACGCATGCGCGCTGACTGATCAGGAAGGACTAAAGCGTTTATATTCGCTAACGTTTTTTCACTTAATGAAAATACAGTACAGTGATCCCAAATCCTACATAATGACCAGTGCTTGCTTCATAAAACCCCCCACTGCCCACTATATGCTCGTGTACATAATAAAGAAACATGACAAAATCTGAAAGCTGTCCAACGGCTCCCGAGTTTTACTCGCCACTTCGCATTGTTGATTTAAACCTGATCGTTAAAACTAATTATCCCCGGTAAACGTCTCTTACCTTATCCGATCCGGGAACGCGTGAGGGGAAAACTTCCCTAAATTTCCCTAAGGAGACATGTGTAGTCCGTAAAACGTTTCAGAAATCCTGTGGATATTGTCGCTCCAGCGCCGTTCGCCAACGAGGAATTCTTCTTGGCTCCTACATTCGTTATTCCTCTTCCTCCCAGCCAACCGAAACCACGACGCCCGGCTGCTACTCGCGCACACACATATGACACTGCGCACGCGCGGGGCTGCATTCACAAGTGTCTGTCTGTAGTAACATATGAAAGAGAGCGAATTCCGCAATGTAACGTGAACAGCGATCTGTAAGCATATAGTTTAATTCACAACAGTACAAACAATAAACACAACATGAATGCACTGTCTAAATACAAATAAAATAACTCGAAACGTATCACATTCATAACCACGACACATTCTTTCTGGCTTTCTTATTTAATTTATTTATTATTATTATTATTCCAAATAAAACAAGGAATGTCTGGAAATGAGTGAAATTGGGGGTTAAGCTCCTCTTCTTTGCATTATAAATATAATATTGCCCTTTAAAAAAAATCAATAATGTACATTTTCCTTTCCATTTCCATATCATGTTCATATCTGTCACATGGTTTACATGTTTAGAAGCCACTTGCATTAAAATAGTTAATACTACAGCACAAGTTGACTGGATGGGGAAACCAACATATAAAGGCAAAGCAATTTGGATGTGTAGCTAAATGACACTTTGATTGTGTTGTATTATAGCCTAGAGCAGCACAATGATGATGAATGACTGCATCCTGACGTCAGACTGCACTGCAGTGTCATATCTTTTCGGGTTTTTCAAAGCATTTTTTGGAAACAGCGCACATGTGATACGTGCAACAGAAGCAGATTTTCGGTTGTAAAGACAATCCTTTTTTGGAGGGCTCCATAGTATGACACATATTTAGATACCACGTCTATCGACAGTACACATTAAACTTAGCAAGCAGACATTTTTCGTGTAGTGTATAGCACACCCTTGTGGTCACTCAACACTATCTTCTGTGAATAATTCCTTCAATATTATCAATGTTCACTCTCTTGCAGAATCTTTTTAAACCAAGATAAATGGCTAGAAATGTTGCTAAACTACTTGTTATTAAGGGCAGCCAGCTTTATAACCTGCTGTTTTTTGTCCGTCATTTTATGTTTAATAATAGTATTCTGGTTATGACAATAAAAGGTGCCCTATGCTATGAAAAAAGAGACACTGCATTTGTGATAAATGATTGAAAATAGTAAATGAGTGAAAATCATTTCAAATGGAGAGTCGTGTTTAAATGTGCCAGGCAGTCTTAAAATGCACCAAACTGATGTTTAAATTCCCATTTAAAGCGGCTCAGTGAATTTGCATGTCCATGAAAACACATGTGGAATACCATCATTCTTGTACATAAAACAGGTTTTAAATGTCTTTAGATTGATTACAAAAATCAAAATATTGTCTTCATGCAGGCTGATGAGGTTCTTAATAGAATTGATCACATGTTCAAATGCAATTAGGGAAAGTGCCAATGTATAAATTACATTGATGCAATGGTTGATATCTATATTAAGCTTTTGCTTTATTAAAATCACTGTCTGGCTTCATGCAGGCTATTGAGAATCATGTATAAGTTTTCAATCCTCTGAAATTATGACATTTGTCCTATTCATCTTCAGCCATTAATCTTAACACCTTTTTGCTCCATAGATAGTGTAACCTGTTGTAGACCAAAACGTGACGGGGAGAGGGAAGGTATTGATAGCAAAGACCTTCTGCGCCACAGCTTCTGTTTTCTACTCTGACAACGCAACCAACATCAAATAAGTTAGTATGGCAAACTGAAAGTGTTCGAGAACAGCAGGACCTTATGGCACGACTACAAGAAGCCAGAAAGAAAAACTGCCATTAATGTGATCCAGAATCTCACCAGGGGGCAGCATGACATAATGGAGCAAAACTGTTCTCTTTAAGTGCATGTTGTGCAGGTCAGCCATTCAACTGCACTGCATTTCCAATTCCACCTGACATATGAAAATAAAGATTATAAAGTGATACGCCTAATGAAAAATTATTATTATTACTATTTTATGTTTCAGGCTAATAAACCCCCGTTTTCACAGACAAGGCTTAAGCTACACACACACACACACACACACACACACACACACACACACACACACACACACACACACACACACACACACACACACACACACACACACACACACACACACACACACACACATTCACACACACACACACACACACACACACACACACACACACACACACACACACACACACACACACACACACACACTTTTATTATCTATAAAAAAAATTATATTAATAACATATAGAATTATAGAATTTACCATTTAATTGTATATTATATTATATTATATTATATTATATTATATTATATTATATTATATTATATTATATTATATTATATTATATTATATTATATTATATTATATCTGGCCCTAATAGGTCACATCCACTTTGCATCCACTATAAACTCAATTTCCCAGAATGCCCTACTGTCCTCCACCCCCAGTCCAGCCGGTGTATTTGGATACAAAGTCAGCCTCAGGAGCTGACAGCTCGGTCCATGGAATAGATCGTCTTTCTCACAGATAAAGGAAACGGTGGTAGAAACGATTCGATTAAGATGGACGACAGGGCGACTATCTGACCCAGCTGGGAGAAATATTACAAGAGCATCCTTCAGTGGAATTCGATTATGTGTAGGCTACAACATATGGGAATATTTCAGCATTATGATACGCCCATGCGACGAGCTGTGTTGTGATGTACAGTGAACGATCCAAGCAACCATAAACATCTGAATTCAGAAAACCGGTTGTTGGGCTGGAAGGACGTATGGATAGCCTACTTTCTCACTGATCTCTGGATTACAAGAAATATCGTTGCAGAATATAGAAAGGAACTAGGTGGCTATTATTATCACCATCCTCATCATTATTATTATTATAAAGATGGTGGACGCATTTTATGCTGGCTTTTATTTGGGCAACATAAACACATTATTGAGAATTTCGTCGCCTAATCGCTACGACCTGGATAAAAGTAACCTTTATGCAAGCCATTCGCATCACTCTAATTCTTCATAGAATGATCTCAATAACGCTATATCATAATAATCCAATATCAAGCCGAAGTTCCGCGTAAGCTTATCATACATTTCTATTTATATACGCAACTGACTCCAGCTTTATGGATCAACTGCTCGATGACAATAAAATGTTTACTGTTAAAACGACAATCATGGAAAATGAGGACTTGAAATAAGAACTTGCGCTTCATAGAAATAACTGCCAGTCGCTTTTGTTTATGACTTGAATTAAATTGCAAACAGTAGACGTGTAGTTAGCTATAGTAGTAGGCTAACGTTTATTGATTAAATATTAATAAGCCTTTCCAAATATGCTAAACGCTAAATGGGTAGAATATATTATGTATGTCGACTAAATGTAATGACAACCACTGCTCTGCCATCTCTCTGTTGTGATTCGCATCTTAAAATGGACGCACGCTTTCCTTGACGGCAACTTAGGGACTTGAACTGTCTTATAGAGTTCGCAATGTACCGGATTTACACGAAACAAGAGAAGCGTGAAGTGAATATTACGAATGTGCAAATAATTGTGGATGTTTTGAGATCGCGAGCTGGCGCATCCCTGTGAGCCTATCAGAGCTGAATGTCTGAAGATGCCTTAAGTTTGCGCATGCATGTGTTTAAGGCTATGATGACTATTCATTAACGTCCATTGCAAATAGCAACATCGATGTACATTTACAAATATGAGAGTTTTACATGGATCGGATTTACATAGATTAGAGGTTATGACAACATTCCAGAGATTTAACACCTACTAGATCCTGATATTTGATGTAGGTCAAATTATCAGAAGACTCATCTAGTTCCTGTTTTATCCTGTAGTATACTATTATTTTAGTTAAGGAGTCTGCTGTTACAAGGAGAAATCAAGCAAGGCCTTCAGTGATTCTTCTAATGGAAAAGCCCAATGCTACTCAAGCAACTAAAAAGAAAACATTCTTACGTCTTGATGGACTGGACATTCTCATCTAATCTCATGGACTTTGGATCTCAAGTTTCCCTAGAAAAAACTTGTATTTTAGCCTAATGCAAAACTCTTATTCAGAATCCTTGTCCTAGTCATATTAGAGCTGTAAGCATACATTGACTGACTACAATGGCTCTATAAATGTTAACACGCACGCAAAGTGTGCTGTGGACAATCCAAGCAACCAGTGAGGACAGTGAAGCCCAGCAGAAGCTTTACTCATTGTCTTACTCATTTTCTTCCCTCATCAACCAGGCCTGTACTCAGTAGATGGGCTCTGCATGGATATTAGGCGCAAGTTGACAGAGGGCCTCCTCCAGCTTTTGAGACCTCATCGCTGACCTGTGCACTCAGTGATGGACCCATATACAAGACTGAGTGGAGTAGGAGCTGGAGGTGGTGGCAGTGCTGCCCCACTACCTTGCACCAACATTGGCGGTTCCTGTGGACCCCCTGTCCTCCCAGAAAATACTAATTCAACACCCTGCCTGACACACAACAGCAGCAGCGGCCAGAACTCCTCTACTCGTCTTTCCTCAGTGGGATCCCCAGATTCCCATCTTCCCCATCATCATGAAGGCATTAACACTTACTGGACAGCTGTCTTTGATTATGAGGCCACAGCGGACGAGGAGCTGACCTTGCGACGCGGTGACCTATTGGAGGTGCTTTCCAAGGACTCCAAAGTGTCTGGAGATGAGGGCTGGTGGACTGGAAAGATCCAAGACAAGGTGGGCATATTCCCTAGTAATTATGTGACCCGACGGGACGCCAGCTATCCAGCATTGCCTCCGGGTGGTCTGGTCGGTGGGGAGTCGCCACTGGATATTGATTTCTCAGAGCTGTGTTTGGAGGAAGTGATCGGCGCCGGCGGATTTGGAAAGGTGTATAGGGGTGTGTGGCAAGATGAGGAAGTGGCTGTTAAAGCGGCTCGTCAGGACCCAGATGAGGACATCAGTGCCACGGCAGAGAACGTGAGGCAGGAGGCCAGACTCTTCTGGATGCTCCGACACCGCAACATCATCGCTCTCCGAGGTGTTTGCCTGCAAGAGCCAAATCTTTGCCTGGTTATGGAATATGCCCGTGGTGGAGCACTTAACCGGGCACTTGCTGGGAAAAAGGTGCCTCCTCGGGTACTGGTGAATTGGGCAGTGCAGGTTGCGACTGGAATGGACTACTTGCACAACCAGACTTTTGTGCCAATCATCCATCGAGACCTCAAATCCAGTAACAGTGAGTCACGTTTCTTTATTGTTCACTGTTAAAATAAATGTGCTAAATTGAACCTTGTCATCGGGTCAGTACTCCTAAAGGGGTCAACTTTGCACCTTATCTACCACATTATTCCCTTAGCATAGTATGTACCCCTACGTTACTACTATGAACCTTACAAAGGTACAAAGATGTCCCTTTGAGTGACAAGCAGTTGTACCCCTAAAGGTACAAATTTTGCAAAAAGAATTCTGATTGTGTTCTGATGCACTCAACACCAACATACTCATATGCAACAATACATCTGCAATGGGAATTGCACGAAAATCATGGGTTTGGCACTGGTGGAGTGAACAATAGGAATACATGTTGTGCGTGGACTTGGAATTATTTTTTTTTTTTTTCGTATAGCTTCTTGTCGTTGTATTGCTTTCTCTTCTTAAGACGAGCTGCTCCGCTCTGGAAAAAACGGGGCTATTTTTGGTCCTTTGTGCTATTTGCAGCTAAGCGCAGTTGGACTTGTTGTGGGCAGAAAGAAGAGAGTAGCTGAATGGATGAGTATGGATGCATTTAAGAAAATGAACGCTGCACACTAGATAAACTAAGTGTTCGATTTTTGCAGTTTTTGCAGTAGCAGAGCTGTCAACCCTCAAGAGAAGATTTAGCAAAGTCTGCTAATCCCTGTCAAATCCATGAAAACAGTCATCCCAGTGCTGCTCCCTCTCTCAGCAATGGGATGCTTGTTTACTGTGCCCCTGTAGACACAGGAGGGGTGAAAGCATTAGCTGTCAGAGTTTAGAGTTTCACTGCTTCTCATTATCCAGGGGCTCTGAGCTCAGGTATCCTCTTCAAACTGTAGGCGTACTCGGAGATTGGCACAGCTGCCGTGGCAACAGAGGCGGATTCCAAGCCCTCCAGCCTCTTCCCAGCTCCCCTCAATTGCACCCTAGACATCCCCCTCCCCCCATAGTACAGTCCCCGCTCAACAATGCAGTGCAGCGGGATTGTGTGTGTATGGTATAGTGTCCCCTTTAGTGCACCAATAATTGCATTCCTTTACTAGTGTTGGTGTTTGTCACAAAATTGATCTCTGATTTAGTACCCCTCATAATTGGTGTGTAATTCAACTGGCTTTGTAAATACATCATATTAGAACAACGATATGAGGAGTTAGGACAAAAGACTATACATTTGCATACCAAAATTACTGTAATAGCTGTCTCTCCCTTATGTTGCCTGGAGGGCTAATTTGAACATACTTGGTTCGCTGGTTGTCAGTACCTGAATAACTAGGATAATCTGATTACTGTGACCTCCTTTAAAGTGATGTCACTCTCTGTGTGTGAGTTGATAGGCTAGAGTCATTGGTCAGTTCATGTCGTTAACTGAGCTCACTCTAGACTTAAGTTACCGTTATTACAGAATGGCCCACAGTCTGGGAAAACAAAAGAGAAATGGGGATCAATTGGAAGGGTGACTCAGCTGAGAGTAACGCTAAACCCCTGATCACCTTCCCTTGACACACTCCTCAGGCAGGTCTTTCCTGGAACACAGGAATGGCTAATGGCCACTGTCTAGTGCAATCAAATAGTCTTGGCACACATTTTTACACTCTAAATGAAGCCAATTAATATCCCTACACTCAACTTCAATATCATGTTAAAGGCTGTGGTAGACCGATATATTAGTCCGACATGTTAATAAGATTATATTTGACAATTTTGAGATCATCAGCATCAGCCAGTAGCTGGTCATTCAGCCAACTAGCTGCTAGTTCATGGATTTTATGCATTTGGATTCTCAAATTATGGCAAATCTTATTTGTCATCATTAAAGGTTACTGAGCTGTTGCCTTGGCTTTTGACTTGCTTAGTTGGGGACATTTAATATTCAACAATATTATTGATCTGCCTTAAGGTGGACGATGACGCAATTTTTTTCTAGAAACTTTGTTGTATTATTTTCATGTTATCACTGTGAAGCTGCTTTGATACAATATGTATTGTAAAAAGCGCTATATAAATAAAGGTGACTTGACTTGACTACTTAACCATGCGCCTCTTCAATGACAGGACACGTTTACATAGGCTACTCAACCGTGGACGTAAAAGTGCAGTCCTGTATTTTTATGACCTTAACACATCCCTTAATAACAGTATTATGTACATATGCACACTTAAACTGTATATACAGACTACTAGGTTTGTGGTTGTTTTGGACTTCTGATTATCTGTTTTGAAATATATTGACTTTTTTTCTACTCTGACTACAGTTCAGTTATTGGCCATGTGGTGTCCATACCATCTTAGCTGGTGAATTGCTTGTAAAGGTGTAAAGGAAGACTTGTCAAATAGTGTTTTACAAGCAGTTGTAGAGAAAATGAATCAGGGAGATGTGTCTGAGAATGGCTGAGAACACAGCAACATAGTAACAATGACCCCTTTATCGCACGCCCAAGACAGAGACGGCTCGACAATGACAGGAGTCACTCGCCTGGCTAGAGAAGGGGAGGGTGGATATGAGAAAATGAGCGTCTGGACCATGCACTGGAGTTCATATTGATACAGGGGACAGGGGAAAAGACTAAGGGATGTGAATGAATACATGTGTGGCTATATGTTTGTATGTCCTGGAAAAGCCCCAGGGTCTGAACTCACACAGGGTCAGTGGTGGGTTATAAGCACCGGGGTCAGCAGGGTACAGGGTTGAGCGACTCGTTTGTCACAAATGACAGATGAATGGCTGTAGTTCTAATTTTCCTGTTGCTCAATTTGTAGAGCATTGCACAAGGTCATGGGTTCAATTCCTAGAGAACCCACATAATAAAATATTAAATTTTAAGTCTCCTAAATGTATAGCCTAAATGCACTTGCACATGACATTACATCACAAACTACGTACTTGCTGTATCTAACTGTGACTAAAATGTGTTATATTGGTATTTTAGTTTGTTAAAAGCAGTGTTGGGGAAAGTTACTTTTAAAAGTACTTTTACTTAGTTACTTTTTAAGGAAAGGAATGTGTTACATTACTTTTGTGTTACTTTTTCTCGCCCTGTGCTGGGCTTGCTTGCTTGTTCTTTTAATTACAAAAAAAATTTGGCAAATGTAAAGGCCCTTTCTCACCAAAAATGAAGTCGCCTGTACAGTAGAGGGCGCAGCTCAAACAAACCTTTCACTTTTTACTGTTTTTGCTACCTCTCTCACTCACACAGACTCGGTATTCAGAAGTTTAGCTTTTCAGGCTACAAAAAACTTTTACAAAAGAGGCTTGACAGTTTCACAACGCCACTCTCCTGCCTTTACGACAACACCCTGCATTCATGCGACACACAAATGTCACCCACAATTTTAGGAGTTCCATTAATAAGTAATAGGATACATTCCTTTCCCACCGATTGGAATGAGTCAGACGGGATGGTGGTAAAAGTGGGGCCGTGGACTTTTTGCATTGTTTGCACTCTGGTTAGTGACCATGAGTCATTTTTCTGGCCCTCTACACGTGTTAAACCTTATAGACCAATACCATTTTTAGAGGCCTTAGGGACAGATTTACTAACAGCTTGCTCTAGTGCAAACCCTCTTTTGGCGTTAAAAAACTACTGTCAGTATTTACTAAAGACACACAGTGAAAAATTAACGCTGAAAAGGTGCGGACATAGTTAAGGTTTCTGCTCATCAATTTACAGGTATTTGTGGCATTATTTACCTCCAAAAAAAGCATTTCTTAAACCAGACGCTAATTTGGGCTGCTCTTGTTAGATTGCGTTGGTCATTACGGAAATGATCCGGCTGCATCTGTGTTCTTTAGTCAGTAGATCTCACGCAGAACTTTCCCCTACCATCGGTGCTTTTATGGAATTGCACTCTCACGCTAATTTTCCCTGTTTAGTAAATCTGGCCCACAGTTTGAGAAGCGAGACCTGTATTTATAGTAAAGCCATAATTTTCCAATGTGTCCTCACTCTCAAGTAATGTTGGCAAGTCTGTAAATAATTTTTCTGTTTTATTGAAACGTCCAATGAAGCAATTCAGCCCAATTAATTGAATTTCCCAGCATTACTTGAGAGACAGGACATTCTAGCAAAGTGTGCTTGATACATTCACTCCTCGTCTCTGTCTCAGCAAGCTCTCACTGCGCTCCAAACCAGCTCTATGCAGGCGTGAATATTGGTAATGAATTTATGTCATACACGTTGTTAATTGTGAAGTATGTCCAATCTGCTGTTCGGCTTCTGGTGTTTCTGTTTGCAACAAACATTGCACGTACACTGCATGGAATAAATCCATGACCTTCAATAATCCGTTTTACTTGAATGTGCATCACAATACAGAGGAAAAGATGACGCTACTTCTGTTAAATAGTGACTTTAAACACTGTGATATATAGCGAAGCTCTAAGGGGTGCCATGCATGATTATGAATGTATATTTATATTGTTCACAGATAGTTTTGGGAAATAAATTAGATTATTTACGATTGATTTACTCTTTCATATAGGCTTTATCCAATAAAAGCAAGCTCCAGAGCTGACTGTGATGCTCTTTGGCTCAGATTTAAAACATCTCTGTTTTGGTGGGAATTGGGGATCTGTAGTACAGGTGTGTTTAGAGGCTGTGTGTATTGGCCGTCTTTTGTCTAGGCATGTGTGAGTGAGAGCGAGCAACTACTGTAGGTCAGTGTCTTTCTTAGTTTAAACTTTGACACAGTTTAAATGCAAGCCAGATAGCAAATACACACAGTATCTGCCACAAAATCAATAAAGAGACAATAAAAAGTAGGCCTGGCGGTCTTGGTTAATGAACTGAAGACCGTAGGTCTCATATGACTAAGTAAAACTGTTCTAGTTAATATATAATCAGACACATTTTTTGCAGGCATGAGAATTTCTTAGTTGTTTTTTCTATTTAAAGAGTTAGAGTCCAAGGTTTGGCTCAGAACTCACATGACACATAGCAAAGAAGACACACAAAGTGCTTATCCACACCCAAACTGAGCATACACTATAATGTATCACACACA